TAATTATACAATTATTTTCACAATTAAAAAATATATAACATCCCTCAATAATAATCCTTAATAATCATCTCTGAATGTCTAATATTATTAATATCGTGATTTCAGTGTGCGAACATTAGTCCAGCAGATATAAACTACGACGAGACTATAAGCACTTTACGTTATGCGAATCGCGCAAAGAACATCAAGAATCGTGCGAGGATCAATGAGGATCCCAAGGATGCTTTGCTTCGTCAGTTCCAAGTTGAGATCGAACAATTGCGCAAACAGTTGGAGGAAAATGGCGCGGAGCTCTCGGAATCCGAGGATGAGTCCGAAGATTTGGAGGAATCGAGAGAAACGAAGCGAGAGAAGAAGGCTCGACGTCGAAGGAGTCAAATGATGTCGGTGGAAGAGTTGGAGAACAGAGATATAGACTCGACAGAGAAGGTTGATAAGGCTGAAAGAGACGATAAAAGTCCAGTGGATAAAGACGTCATAGAATTGAAGAAGACTCAGTAAGTTTAAAGTGTAGTTCTGTTAAAGTAAACTAAATAGAATAATATATAACGAGTAATTAAATTTGTAATATCAAATGAATAAATAATTAAAATATACGGATGCTCTTAAAATTAAAAGTGTCCTAATTTCAGGAGCGAGAAGGAAGCGCTGCGAGAGAAAATGCAGAATTTACAAAATAAAATATTGGTAGGTGGCGAAAATCTATTAGAAAAGGCGGAGGCTCAGGAACAATTATTAGCTGCTGCGGCGGTCGAACTCGAACAACGGAAGAGTCATGAAGAACAATTGAAGAAAGCCATTAAGGCAAAGGAGGCAGAACGCATCGATATCGAGGAGAAATACTCCTCTCTGCAGGAAGAAGCGGCTGGAAAGACGAAAAAATTGGCGCGCGTATATACGATGTTGATGTCTGTCAAAGCAGAGCTGTCCGATCTACAGCAAGAACATCAAAGAGAGATGGAAGGTCTTCTGGAGGGTGTACGAGGAATTGGCAGAGAGTTGCAGCTGCAGAATCTCATTGTGAATCATTATATTCCCGTGCAGTATCAGGTTTGTATGGAAGTATTTTCGTGCAGTTTTCTTGAAAATGTTTTAAAATATATTAATTAAAAAGAAATAAAAGTTTTAAATATTAATTTTTCAATTAATCAAAAGAGATTGATAAGGATCCTTTCTGAGAAGTATTGATCGAAGTTAATATAATTTTACGAATACATTAAATATATTTGTTTAAATATATCCCTGCACTTTGTATCTTACAGACAATGATCAAGAAATATGTTCATTGGAATGAGGATATAGGCGAATGGCAACTGAAGTGCGTAGCGTATACAGGGAATAATATGCGCAAAGCGCAAACCATATCGCCGGCAGGGAATCCTAAAGATGTAAGATTATTCATTTCGTCATATTCATTCTAGAAAGGAGACATAACAAATTTTTTTGTTATTATCCAAAACTAATCGAAACTTTATAATCAAAATTTCGATCTAACAAGGAAACACAACCAACTGTCCTCTTCCGATTTTGATGAACTTTTAGTATATTGTTTTATGGATAAAAATAAGAGATACGTATTTCTTTTATATCGGCTAAGTCACACTTCTATTAAAAAAATTGATTTTTTTTCTTTCAAAGCGAATATCATTGAAAAAACTATAAGAGATAGGAAAAATTTTTCAGAATAAAAATTGAACAGCTTCAAATGTACTTTAGAACTATAATTAAAAAATTTATTTATTATATTTCTAAGTAGTAATTATATTACTTTTTCTCTAATGTAGAAATGTGAAAAGTGAAAATTTTTTGTATATATATGTGTATAAGCACATACATACATACATAAAATTTTTCACTTTTGACGTGTCTGCTCTAAGGAAAAAATTACATGATTGCTACCCTAAAGTACTCTTAAAGCCGTTCAATTCTCATTATGGAAAATTTTTTCTATTTTTTATAGTTTCGACGATATTCACTCTGAAAAAAAATTGATTTTTTTCAAGAGAAAGTTTTCACCCCTTTAACATGCGACTCAGTCGATATAAAAAAATATATATCTCTTATTTTTGTCCATAGAACAATATCGAAAAAATCAAATCTGATCAAAATCGGAGGGCCACACTTGGTTGTATTCTCTTGTAAGTACATAACATAAACATCTTTTTACATTTGCAGACAATGCCGCCAGACATGTCGAACATATATCTCTCTTACAACATCGGGATGGACAGTACGTTTGTGCAACCGAAGAAAGTGCGAAGTCGTTCTGGCGTCCCCAGACCAACTACCGCGCATCGACGAACACCGCACTAAACACGAAGATTTTCGATCGTGGAATCACAAAGGTTTATCTTTTGTCACATTTTTATAAATCTATTTTTTGGTAACTCACCACGCATCCATGTTTGTTCGCGCAAACGTGCGGTATATTTGCATCAATGTACTCGTATCGGCTTGGTGCGATTAGATAATAACTCATTTTCGGTTTCGCGAGAAAGAAAGAGATAGAAAGAGTGAGAGAGAGAGAGAGAGAGAGAGAGAGAGAGAGAGAGAGAGAGAGAGAGAGAGAGAGAGATGTTTCGTATAATTTTTAAGATATCTCGACTCTCTCTTCTTGTTTTTATACAGATATAATATGTGAGAAAGTGGCTAATTATATCGTAATTATGGTCGAGGATATAATTTAACATTGGTCACAAACACAGTAGACGAATCCAAAACTATTTAAACATATTCTTTATTCGAAGAATTTTATTCGAACACTTTGGAGCACGCCATAGAAGACACAAGTATTTTCCGAGAGTATTCAGTTTTTTATTTATAAGATATGATATAGCAATATTTCAACAAAGTCACAGATCGTATGTGTTGAAATATTATTAGAAAAATATACATTTTCGTGTTGATAATATACGAGAGAGATCATTCTGATAATATTGTAGAAAATGATACGAGTCCATTAAAAAAGTGAAAAAACAATGCTGTACCTGTGGAATGAGAAAGATTTCAGAAACTCGACGTATATAAAAAAAGTCATGATAATATAAGGTGTAGTAAAAAGAAATCCATTATTTTTCCAATAGATGGCTTTAGTAATATCTGTATCTCGCGTTGTATAAGTGCGATTGGATTACGCTAGATGACGTTAGAAAGATAAGATTTCGTACTAAAAAAACTGCTCAGACAGTTTTGTGATTGCTCGACTCAGTATTGTTTGAGCACGCGTCAAAGATGGACACCAGCAAAGAGAAAATACGCCATATTTTACAGTTTTTCTTCGATAAAGGTGAAAACGCAAGCCAGGCGGCTGAAAATGTGAATAGTGTTTATGGTCCTGATACTGTAACAGCTAATCACGCGCAATTTTGGTTTCGTCGATTCCGTTCCGGTAATTTTGATGTCAAAGATGCACCACGCTCTGGAAGGCCAATTGTCGAAAATGTCGATAAAATAATGGAAATCGTCGAGTCCGACCGTCATGTAAGCACTGTTTCGATTGCCCAGGAGCTAAACATTGCACAAAAAACCGTTTGGAACCACTTGAATAAGGCTGGATACAAAAAGAAGCTCGATGTATGGGTGCCACACGAGTTAACGCAAAAAAACCTCATGGACCGAATTTCCATCTGCGAATCGCTGCTGAATCGCAACAAAATCAACCCATTTCTGAAGCGGATGGTGATTGGTGATGAAAAGTGGATCACTTATTGCGACAACGTCAAGCGAAAACGGTCGTGGTCGAATCGCGGTGAGCCGACGCAAACGGTGGCCAAGCCAAGATTGACAGTCAGGAAGGTTTTGCTGTGTGTTTGGTGGGATTGGCAAGGAATCATCTACTATGAGCTGCTCCCCTACGGCCAAACTCTTAATTCGGACCTGTACTGTCAACAATTGGACCGTTTGAAGGAAGCAATCGCCCAGAAGCGGCCAGCGTTAGCCAATAGGAGAGAAATTATGTTCCATCAGGACAACGCAAGGCCACACACATCGATAGTGACTCGCCAGAAGCTCCGGGAGCTTGGTTGGGAGGTTCTTATACATCCACCTTATAGTCCGGACCTGGCTCCAAGTGATTACCACCTGTTCCTGTCTATGGCGAATGATTTTGCTGAAAAATTCGCTTCAAGAGAAGCTTGTGAAAATCGACTGTCCCAGTTTTTTGCCAATAGGGACGAGGGTTTCTATGAGAGAGGCATAATGGAATTACCTTCAAAATGGCAACAAGTTATCGAACAAAACGGTGCATATTTAATCTAAATCGGATCATTCTAACTATATTAAATAAAGCCTTCAATTTCATCCAAAAATAATGGATTTCTTTTTACTACACTATATTTACATAATATTTATAAATTCGGTTAAAAATACGACGTTTCTCTTAAGAGAAATTTATTCTACATTTAGAAATTCGTATATCTCTTCGGTAGCTTTATTCGCTTATACTCGTTCCCTACATAATTCGGACAAACTTGGCGTAAGAAATTACATAAAACAATAAAAAAAAACATAAATTAGAGATAATGCAGCGCAAACATTTATAATTAATATCAAATATCAGTGTCAAATAATTGCGATAGAGCGTTACAAGTTTTTATTTGACGGAGTAGCCATTTTTATGTGCTATAGTGATATTAGATTCGTGATAAAATATTTTTAGACAACGTGATCATCTAAAAATATCGCGAAAACGTCCGAGAAGATTACACATTCTATGAATGGATTTTACGTTGTCTGAAAATGTTTTATACTTTCTCGTAGATCTTTTAGAATGCCTGAGATATGTGCATATATTATTTACTGTGATACCGAAATGCTTTTTCGCGTATGTTTTCGATTGAGTTTTTGCGCAAACGCTTTGTTTAGCGTTATAGCCGGATCGGCACTGAGTATTTATTGTTGTCGCGATGTCCTGTTTTTGTACTTTTCATTTGAAAAATAAAGAAGATAAATTTCGATCAGGCGTTATTCCTGATAATCTCGCGAACTATTTTCATCGCACCGAACTTTAAAATCCCCTTTCAATATTCCTTGATCCACTTATCAATCCAAAATTGATGGAATTCGCGCGTTACGCGAACACTGTACGGATCGTTACTGTTGCTTTCTCGTAAATCGAGATGATGCGCAGCATCCGGCATCAATATTGCAAACGCTGACTGGGATAAATTGCGCAGGATACCTCCGCTCGACCATGGATCTAGCAATCCATTGCTGCAAAAAAAGAAAAATAAAAGATTATTGATAAATAATAAGTTGTAGAAAATAAACGTAAAATTAAAATAAACTTGAAATAGAAGTATGAAAATATTAATATTAGAAAAGGAATAGAGAGAGAGAGAGAGAGAAAAACCTAAAATAGAAAAAAAATTTATAATATAGCAGTAAAATAAAATTATAAACAGAAATATGTATAGGAAATAAGAGAAGAAAAAATTTGAATTTTACTTATTGCTTCATGTACCTAAAAATGATGTTACTTGCGGTGTTAAAATCCTTACAACCGTACTCCTCACAAATTAGATAAGGTTGCGACGATACGGAATACTTCTTGAAACAGGTATTGTTGTAATCTGCGATGTCCCACTTCATCGGTTCGAACATATCGTTGACGCCGTCAGAACAAATTGGCATCACCATTTCTGTGCATGCTTGATAATCCCATCCTGGATAAGCGCCCAACCTCGACTCTTCTATTGTATTTTTCATACAATTCGTTTTTCCGGTATAGTTCGTATAAACACTAATAGCTCGATGAAGTGCCAATAACAGCGATTTTCCCGTTAATGACACGTTTGTTAAATGTTGACAGAAAACCTGAGCAATAACGTTCAAATCATCAGTTTTGAAATCTTTAAATTGATTTTAATTTATTGGAGTTTTTAATTATTCTGATATGTTTATAGAGCATGGAATACATAATAATTTTGTATAACTTTCAAGAAAAAAAGATTATATTCAGCCGAAGATCTATGAAAGAAGGAAATCTTTATGATTGCAAAGTTAGAGATATGTGCTTACATTAATTGGATTGCCAGGTAGCGGCGCTAAGAAGTTAGTCTCATACGGATAGTTGGTCATGGCCAGGTCTATGTAGATATTCTGCAAAACATTTTTCAGCGCTTGGACGTCCTCCGCGGTTTTCAACGGCTCGCATAGTTTCCAATTATCCGAAAGCCACTTTTTGCCCTCATCTGAAACAGCAAAGACCAAATAATCAGCGAATTACGGCGAGGTAATCGAGAATTATTTCGTTACCATTTGAAGCCACTTTTGTTATCGTGTTCCACGCCTTCTGAATAAGTTTCGAACACGTTAAATTCACAGTTTTATAATCCGAGGTTGTTATCCGAGCGAACACCTCACAATCCACGACACCAGTGACGTATAGAATTGGCGCGGATGACGCAATCGCGCTGCAACGCATTGATAATATTATGTGTAATATTATATGTTTGGGGTGAGTTATTATTATTCAAATGAATTCGCGCTATATATTGCTAATAGATAAGTCATTTTATACATATATCTTACTTCAGACATTGTCATATCTATATATATGATAGAGTTTTTAATATCAATAGTAATTCTCTAATTTATTTTGAATCCGTTTTTTTTTCACACATTCTTGTATTTCTTGCCTGCGGATTTGAATCGCGACAGAACAAATTATAACGTTTACATATATTATGATCAATTATATAGGTCTACAAAAACAAAGTATTCTGTACTCTGATGGAAAAACCTAGAGCTATTCTTATGTATTTTGAGTCGCTGAATACGAATCTGACATAAAAATAGGACCATCCCCTGCACATTTTTAACTTTTTTTTATTTCATATTATATGAAATTATCTGGGTTTCCACCAGAGTACAGAATACTTTTTTTTGTTATCGCTGTATCTATAACATTAAATATAAAGGATATGTATATGCCTACTCTTCACGACAAAAAAAAAGTTATCTACAGGTCTAGATGTCGATTCATTGTCATTTTTGACTGGGTATAAACAAGATATCGCTATCATCCAGCGATAAAACATACCCTTGTACAACGTGGGGATACTTTATGCGTATCCAAGCGCTAAGCATACCACCGTAAGAGCCACCGAATGCTATGACCGGACTGCGCTCATATCCTGGTTGCGACTTTAAATGCACGATAAGGTCCACGTAATCAGCTAGAGCTTGTTGAGACGTCAGATAGCCGCGATGCTGTGGATCCGCGAAGGATTTGTTCCCATAAGGTAGCGATTCGCCATAGTAACGGTGCTCAGCAAATACTACCAATGCGTTGAACTTTGGTGCAATTTCCCATAGAAAGCCCTACGAAGTACATAAAATTCATTTTTAACGAACTGAAATGAAATAACGTACAAAAGGTTGAAGGCTGGTAACGTTTTATTAGCAAGATTTACGAGCGGCGGTATCCGGCTGGATGACATGGCCGGGTACGATGCATTTTAGGGCAGCATCGTTACAAAATATAACCGAAAAATTTTATTACTAGCTCGGTGCTTATTAGAAAGATATTGTATTGGAACTATACAATAAAAGTATTCATAACAAATGTGCTCGTCGGAATGATGCAAGTCACGATAATGGGCCTTCTACAATAAGCCATTACTTAAGTTTTAAGTGTTAAATATCATAAGAAATTTACCAATCACAATCGAATGTGAGAAGAATAATCGACTAATACTTAAAACTTAGGTAATGGCTTATTGTAGAAGGCCTATAAGAGGTTCGCTCGGAGAGAGGAGATGCAGAAATAATACATACAAAATATATGTATGTATTTAATTAAAATTAAGTATGGATAACACAATATTGCGTTCCATTAATTATTATTGCATCTAAACAGCTAACTGCTCTTACCGTATTTTCCGCGAAAACTTCGATGTTGCCTTCGTTTCCGGTGTAGAAGAATATAGGAGCATTTCGCTCTTTTCGCCAAGTATCATTTATGAGGTATTTCAATTTGAAGGTGTCTTGTATGGCGAAGCTGAAGTGATCCACCTTGAGATATATATTGTAAAATTACCAACGGGGATTATTAGATAAGGAATTAATTTTTGTTAATATTGACCTTTTTTTTTATCAATTATCAGTTTTGCATTTAACAGAAATTAATGATAATCATCTCGTAATTATTAAAACATTCTGTTACCGCACCGGGTTCACGCGACAGATCACGTGTACTGATAATTATAGGTAATTATAACTATATATATATATACGATGTGATAATTATTTCATACGTGTTAATTGTACATACAATAATATAATGCAATTAATCAATGATATTATAAAAAAAAAAAAAAGTATCTTATAACATATCGATTTTTATTCAAAATATTAGGTGTAGTAAAAAGAAATCCATTTTTCCAATAAATGGCTTTAATAATCTATTCGAAAAACAATGGATTTCTTTTTACTACACCTAATATTTTTATACATAATTATTTGCATTTTGTAATTAACAGAAATAAATAACTATCTCAATTAATAATTAATGTACAGTTAATATAATTATATTAGTTTTTTTAATTGATAAAAATTAGCAATAAGTATGTCATAAGATAATTAATGTGTGCAACATGTGTGATCACTTACGCGCACGTCGAACGTCTTGATCTCGTATTTATATCTGGCGCTTCGCAGTGACAGCGACTCATCATGATTGTGAGAATAGTTCGCAGCAAATTCGCTTCGAACCATTGACCAGCATAATGCAATCACGGCATAAAACAGCAATAACGTCCGCAGGCACATGATGCAGCCACGAGGAAGCCGGCGTTATCTATGACGAACACTCCGTCTTTTCTTTCTCCGAGGTGCGATAACAGTGTAACACTTGTATTTCGGTACTCAACAGTAAATTCCTTCCTGCTCCATTTTATGACGCTGCGCGAATCGATATATACCGGGTGTCACAGAACGAACGAATCAACTCTTTAACGCAGCATCTGTTTTAACGCGCGCATTGCGCCGTCAACGGTCAAGTTATACAAATATACGTATATTTATTTATAGCTTCGTGAAATGAATTTGTAATGTTAAAATAGAAAGATGATATATACAGGGTGTTTCTTAAATAAAACACCCATTGATCATATAGTGCCATTCCTGATAAAAAAGATGAATCGAAAAGTCCTCCTACCATTTTACAAAGTTTTCGCAATAGTTAATGAGATATTAATTTTTAAAAATTGCCGAATAAATTGGATAAAATCGATGCGTAAGACAATTTTAAGATATCTTTCATTATGAAATATTTTAAAGATGTTTCTTAAAGTTGTCTTCTATGTCGATTTCAGACATTCGTTCATTGGAAAACTAAAACAAATATTGCGATAGTTATAAAACAGCAGAGGACTTTTCGACACTCACTATTCTTTTATTCTTTGTTAGGAATAACGCTATATGATTAACGTTATTTAAGAAACACCATGTATACAATTTTTTTACATTTTAACTATATTTTGCTATATGTATACATATATACATAAAATTTTTTAAATTTGAACAATGTTATTACAAATTTACAAAAATTGTTGGAATAAAATAATACAACAACAATACATTTCGACAGTGACATAAATTCTTTATTACAAAAAATAAATTAATTCACTCTACATGTACATATACAAAAATACATTAACTAATTAATTTTAATAATACTTCTCTATATCCAGTGACGACACTGGTGAACTAATGGTTACTTATTTAAACGTATGACATCGATGTCAAAATAATTTTACAAAGATCTTCACGTAAAAAAGGGGATTTATTTGATTTATACACAGGGATTTATTTGATTTATATTATATTCCGCGATTCTTACAAGCCGATACGTAATTGGCCATTCTTTGAGATTGCACACAATTGCGTAATAAAATAAAATTATATAAATTGAGAAATATAGAGAAAGAAAGAAAGAAATATAAGAGGAGAATCGATTAAATTATTTCAATTGAATGTTCAATTAAGTTTTTCATCAAATTTTTGATTAAAAAAAATACGAACAAATGCTTCAGATCTAATTGTTTTTTAAATGTACTTTTTAAGTCGATTGAGTCTAAAGATAAAATAGATCTTTGATATTCAGTCCTGCTGTATAACGTACTAGTACTAGAAAACGCTTATATAATCAGATTTTCGTCTAAACAAAACATGTCATATTGTCGTATAAAACAAATTTCTAAGAGTCATACTTTGTATGACACCTATCTTTTATTTCTATATTATTTGTGCGTTTCCTTACACACAAATATCAACAGTTGCCTAATGCTCGAGAATAAACGTTAACCAGTAGAAAGTAGAAAGATAATTTTCGCGGAAAAAAAAAGAGAAGAAGAGGTCGAAGATTAAATGTGTTTCTTAAAGTCTACGTTTTGATTTTCTCTCCTTATTACGCTTACTTCTGTAAGAGAAAAAAAAAGAGAGAAAGATCCGACAGAGAGATCCAGTCTTGCTTATTATGTCATAATAATGCTCAGCGGAAACACATGACTAAAGCTTTTTCTTTTGTTCGCGAGCTTGTGTACCGTTTTGCCTTAAATTATAGTCAATTTATAAAATTGTTATGTACAATAGAATATCTCTATTCTGTTTTCCTTTATTGCGAATCTTTCTATTCTAAAACAGGATAAAGTGTCCACGTGAATCGAATCTATCTCCCCGCAGTACGGATGATATTACGGACATTTAGAGGGAGAAAGAAGTACGGGAAAAAATGGAGCAGAGAGTAGCAAAAAAGCTTAGAGGAATCAGAAAATAGAATAAAAAGGAAATTGTTCCTTTGTGCCGCTTTTCCTCCACATATTTGTTATAATCGCACGATGTTGAGAAAGAGAGGACGAGGCTCTTCGATCCCGACGATACAGAATAGAGACTCTACTGTACATACTAGTTATACTATAAAACAATTTTTTTCTTACTAACTAATAATATGCATAGCATTACATTATGATTAACCATACTTGTACTTCAGATGTATATAGCTTTACAGCTACATTTAACGTCTGCCACTTCGAGATTCGAGATTGGCAAGCAAACGCGGTATAATAATTTTATTATTATACTGGTATCATATGATTTACTTACGCTTACTTATATTGGTCCCTAACATTAAAAAAAAAACTCCGCTAATATACTGTTGTACAATAATGTGCTTTAAATTAAAGACAAAGAAGAATCTAGCCTCTGTAACTACCGTTTAGCCGAAGGAAAGCTATATTGCATATATTTAAAGAATACTTAGTACGTACTTCAACATTTATCTTTGTACTTCAGTGTAAGTTGCATTTGTTCCATTTTTTGTGCATGCTGTTGCTCAAGCTTCTTGGCTTTCACAGTATACTGCTCGTCGTTTGCCAGACAGCTTTGTTGTGCTTCTTCAATGGCCTTTTTGTATCCTTCCTCGATACGTTTACATTCACGCAATAGAAACTCCCGATTATTCTCCGCATGGCTCTAAAATTCGAACATGTTATATATAGATGTCTCTTAGGAAAAAAAATTGCTAGATGTTGGTTCTCATATACGCACCTTGTAATTATTTGCAGTCTGTTTCGCCTTTCGATATTTGTTCTTCAAATGCTTTTGTTTTTCTACTAACGTCTTAAGCTCATTATTTAATTTTCCTTCAGTGAATTTCAACATCTGTATCTCCTCATCTTTCTCCTTCTCCTTAGCTTTACTTTCTTTTAGTTCAGCCATCCATTTGGTCATTATCTCAGCCATATAATTTCTATCCTCCTCAACTTGGTTTTCTTTCTCCTTTAAAGCAATGTTCAATTTCTCGATGCATAGCCTTCGCGCTTGCAGCTCTTTGTTGCAGATCTCTACTTTTCCTATAATTTGACTGATTTGAATGACCTTCATTTTCTCTTCTGTTATCTCCTTTTGCAGCGTTTTTATCTCCTGATCCTTTTCGCTGCACTGTTTTTGCAACTCTAATATGGTAGTTTTGTACTTCCCTTCCAACTCCTCTAGCTCCTTTCTATTTTGTTCTCCAATTCCTCTCAGTTCTTTTGCTACTCTCTGTTCCATTTCTTCCCGCACTTCTTTCGCCATAATCTCCTTCATCTTCTGAAAGTCCGTACTATCGCCCGTACTGCGGGGAGACAGATTCAATTCCGCAGACACTTTATTCTGACTTTTAACAAATTGTTCAAACTGTTTGGCTTGATTTCGCAATTTTACCACTAGCTGATCTCTCTCGTCTTTTATCTTCTCAAATTCTTTCAATAATCTGTTTAGTTTTTCGTCCTTACTTCGTAGATCATGTTCGAATTGTTGTATCCTCTGTTCCAATACCATTGATTCGTTCATACGTCCTTCTTTCGAGTTACTCAGCTTGGATAATTGTGCGACCGAATTTTTGTGATGAGAGAGTTCTTTTTCTAGCTCACTTTTTGAGTTTAATGTACTTTCGCTACTTTTCCGCAATCTTCCCTCAAAGTTACTAACTTTTTTTTTCGCATTGAAGAGTTCAGTTTCTAATTCAGAGATCTTTTCTTTACAAGTGTTTCTTTCACTGATTAGATTGTCGTATTGATTTTTCAGTGTTTCGTTCTCTGCTTGAAACCGAGAAATTTTTAATTTTACATCGTCCGAATCTTCTAATTTCGCGGTACGTTTCAAATTCAATAACTCCAAGTCTAGTTTGGAAATTTTTGCCAGAAGATCCTTTCTTTCATTAGCAATCTTCTCGTATTTCTTCTTCCACGATTCTTGCGTAATTTCCATTTGCGCTATTTTCAATTTGGCGTCATCTAACTCGGTCTGATAATCGGATAACTTTTTTTGTTCTTGAACAGCAATTTGAAGCTTCTCTTCCAAGCGTTTGCAATCTTCCTCTAACTATAATAGAATGGAATAATATTATTTAGAAAGATTTATAAAGAATAGATTTTTAGATATATGAAATAATTAAATCTCAAATATAACAACTTTTATACCTGGTTAATTTTTTCTAAATGTTCAGAACAATGATCCGGCAAAAGAAAACTTATTTCTTGATTTGGATGCGCATTTCGTAGTTCGTGCAACGCTTCTTCTTTTGCTTGAAATAGAATATTAATTAAATTTAAAAAAATTGAGACATTCATCATATTTTTCGTGCAAGAAGTTTCAAACTTCTTGCTTTATATGATTCAATACTTACCCCTTTCTATTTCTGAATGTATTTTTTTTACATGATCCTCTTTTTTTCTTCTTTCGTACACGAGATCTTTTTCTAACTCGATTATTTTACTTTTGAAGTCCTCGCATTCCTTAGTTAATTTATTACACAATTTAACCTGCGTTTGTAACTCATTCTCCAATTTCTCCATATCCTTCTGATGTGATTCAATTGCAGCATATTTATTTTTCAGCACTTTAATTTCGTTTTTGTGCTCATTTATTAAATGTTCTTTCGTCCCGCAAACGTTTATATACAATTCTTTTACACGATCTAACTCTTTTTGTGTTTGCTCTAATTGTACGCTAAAAATAAAAATTCCATTTGTATATATATTTGCATCAATTTATTAATATTTATTATAAACATTTTTATTGAATACGAGCGTAGCACAGTGGATAGCACGCGAGTCTACCATGCTAGAGGACTTGAGTTCGATCCCCGACAGATCAAGAAATTTTCGTGCGCTCATTGCGCCTCTTCGGTGGTCTGGCAAATCACCAAAAGTATCTATTGTCAAGAAAACCTCTCGAACTGTCATTTGGAATCGGCGTTAAAATGTAGGTCTATGTATCACTAACGTGTGCACTAGGCATATGTACAACAAGTAGGCTCTATCCCAACTTTAGGATGATACATCATCGAATGAATGAATGAATGAGCATTTTTATTAAATTAATATATGTATATAATAGATTTTTATTAAGTTATATTTAAAAAAATTAAGTAATTAAAAACAAAAACGATACTTACGTCAATTGCACTATTTCTATATGTGCTTCTTGCTTCACTCTTTCTACAGCTTTAGCATGTATCTCCAGGTACTCTTTGTTGTACTCATCGACGGCTTCCTTTTCTTGTTGCTCCGTAGTCTCCTGATGCATTTTTCTGAGTTTCTCCTGATTAATAGCTAAAGCCTCCTCTAATTTTTGTTCCAAATTAATCTTCTCGTCGCGCAACAACTCATACTGTTTCTTTACATCATTCAAATGATATGAGAGTTTTTGTATCTTAGCATTTGCTTTCATGGCTTCGTCCGTTAATAAAGATTTCAATTCTTCTTCTAGCTCTTTAATTCGCTTGCGCGCATTCATTAATTCGCTTGCCTTTTGCGCTGTTTCCTGGCGGTATGTATCAGCTGATATCAAAGCTTCATTTAACTCCTTCTCTTTTTGTGATAAAGTATTCTCTAAACGATTAATTTCTTTTCTTTTTACAGCTTGACCAGCAATACATCTAAACAAAAATAACATCGCGTAAAAAATAAACAGCAAGATTAACACAATATTTAATAAGAAATACACATTTTAATGATAAATATATTTAAATGGCACTTACCTACGTAGTTCACCTTTTAATTTATTTGTAATATCATCAACGGGTTTTGATTTTGATTTATTATACAGTTCACCTAATTTCATTTGCCTAATTGAGTCTGATTCATCCTCTAAAGTAGTGACCAATAACGAATCATATTGAGCAACTTCGTTTTTAGCTAATTCCAATTTGTTCTACAAGTAATTGATAAGTAAAGATCGCTAAATCAATTTCTTATAATCATTATATTTAAAAAACTGTAAAAAATAAATTACCTGTAAATCCTGTACGTTTTTATGCAGATCTTCTTTTTCTTGAATCAACATTTTTACATGTGCTTGTAACTGCATCACTTGCTGAACATTATTAGTGGTCATGAGATTGCGACATTGGGTTTGACTATCTTGTAAGGCTTGTGCCAATCGATTCATGGTGTCACCCTTCTCCACCATAAGAGCCTCGTGTGCTCTTCGTGCATCATCCAATTTATGCTCAAGAGTGACACATGACGTTTCCTATTAAAAGTTAAGCAATATGAGAATTAAGTAAAATTAATTAAATCTGTAAAGAATATTACAAAAATGTGCAAAATAATTTTCATAAAGAAAGAAAAACAGCATAGTTTAATATAATTAAAATTAAAATAAAGATATATTAATGCCTATTTCCATCTATAATTTTAATCTCGTTTCAATTTATATATTCTTCTTTTTCAAATTTTTTAAACTAGAAAAAATTAGAATAATCTTGAATCCAGATTAAAATTAATTTACATTGATGAAAACGGATATAAATGTATTAAATATGCATCTGTGCATGTAAAAAATTATGCTGAAGTGTAAGCTATAAAGAAATATGATTTAAAAAAAATATATATATATATATAAACAATTTTGTAATCGTGCAATCGCAAAGATAATCAACAGAGAACTTGCCCAAATACTATTGTTGTCGATGTCCTTATTGAGCAACTATAGCAAATATAATTACAGAGAGAATATATACAAATATACGATATCAATTCTTATATACAAATACATATGTATATGTACAATACGATATATAATTTAAGAAAAAAATTTAATAATACCTTGGCGTTTAATTTGTCTGTAAGAATATCTATTTGCGTCTGCATATTTTTCATTTCTACTGCGTGTTTTTCTTGTGCCTGTTTCAAAAATTTCTCTTGTATCTTATCATTTACTTGCAACACTTGTGCTCTTTCCAGTACAGCAATTTTTTGTTGCAAATCCATGACAGAGCCTCTCGCGATATTTAGATCTTCCGTCATCTATAAAAACAATTTTATTGATATTGATATATTCAATACAAATAAAATGCGAATATGCATCTTACATTTTGATTCGTCTTTTCTAAAACCGCATTCCTTTCTTTCAAAGATTTCATTTGCATTTGCAAATCAGATATCTCGGCTTTAGCATCAACTAAAAAAAATTAAAAGACTTCAATTAATACAATAAATTGTTATGACATGTAGCTCTGATGTGTGAAAATGATCAACTTGTAATCAACGGTTCTGAGTTCAATCCTAACTCTCATTTCTCATCCCATAATTATGTATATATACATATATGTTTCAGTTTTATACTATAAAAGATTGTTCGCGTATAAAACATAAATTGAATAATAGCTTTCCGAATAAATCAAACTTAATTCGAAAAAGGAGCATACAAAGTCTACCCCAGTTATTACAGCGAAATTATACAATAATTTATCAATTAAAAAAAAAGTGATAATATAATAAACGTTTCAATCTCTTATTCGATCGCCTTCATTTGGATGTTAAAATGATGTCTTTGATGTTAAAGTAACATCAAAATGATAACAAATAACATTAGTTTGTTTGCTGAAAAAATTAATTGATAAATTATAATTTTGCGGTAACAATTAGCATAGGCTTGGTATGCTCCTTTCCTGAATTAAGTATAAAAGATTGATTGAAAAGTTAATGGACATGAGTAAAAAAGGGAGGATATAAGGATCCATAAGGAGAACACAAAATCCATTTGACTACTCTAAATAATAATTTGAAGATTTTTTTCCTTACCTAATGCCTCTTGCGCTTGATTTCTCGATATGTTAGTTCTATCGACTTCCGCCTGTAAGAGCATCAATCTCCTACTCATTTGGTTCTTTTCATCCTCTTTTTCCATTTGCAATTGTTGGAGCTCTTCCGTCAAACGACTGATCTCCCGCATTCTGACCATATATAATATTTCCAGTTGTTCCTTACTATTATACTCCGACGTTTTGTACGCTACAGCGTCGTCTATTGGCCTACCATTCGGACTAGTCTTATAGCAATGATTCATGTGATCCGAAGTAGCATTGTCACCTCCGCCAAACTCATGAATCTGCTTACTTTGTACATTATTTTCATACGTGTCATTAATACCGTTATTGGAGTATTTGTGGGATATATGAGTATTGTAATGATTGGATGGCGTCTCATAGTTGCAAGAATAATTCTCACTGAACGTACGTTCCTCGGCTGACTGCGGGAGTATCTTGCGAGGATAGCCGGTTGGTGGTTTGGCCAATTCGTATGGCGTCTCAATGATGCTGTTGCTATCATTAAATCTATTGTTACCATACGGCGTCCCTGTTTGTCTGTACAAATCAAAGTCGGTCTGCACGGTCCCACTACCAATTTCGGAGTCGGATCTATGATTCGTTATCACGTCATGGTCGTAACTGTTTAGATTATCCACATGATCATAATTGTTCAGATTTTCCACCCGATCGTAAACACCAAATTCCTTCTGCAAATGTGCCACTGCTACCTGTTCTTTAGGCGTAATTGATTCCAGACCAGAGTTGACCATATTGATATGATCAGTGTCTCTGGTGTTATCTTGATGACTACTATTGATGGAACTGATGTCATCATCATTTTCCAAATCATCAAATTCCTCGTCAAGCCGATTCTGTATCTGCAAGAACAAGAAAGTACATACATTAAAATTTCGTTTGTTCATACTTCTCTTTCTTTTTATTGTTTTATATATACACACACATTTATATATAAAATTCGTCTATATAAAGCCCATGGCATATAAGAAACTTAATGCAGTAAGTGAATTTAATGTTATGCATTGTCTACAATGGACAGTAGCAGTAGTGGATTAAGGAGTAGGCATAGAAATAAACAAATTATAATCGAATTTGAGAAGGATAATTAACTATGATTGGTCGATTGAAGACAACGCATTATGATTTCTTTACTGCTCAAGCCTTACTACCCTATGTTGATGATGTGACATGAGCATGATTACATATAATTCTGTGAATGATTCCTCCTATCATAAGACAATATATATCATTAATATATCGATTGTTTGAGATAAAGTTATACAACAAACTTTCATCCACTCTTTCCTATCTGTTATACACATAATAACACTGCTCGATAGGGACTACCTCTACACACTACCTCTAGTTTACACCTAGAACTTGATACTACTAACTAGTAACTTCCTACTAAATTATCTTAATTTCGGTAATGTATATAAACATATATCATACATAGCTATTTAAACTAACAATAATAATAATTAATGAGCAAGTGAGAGTGATTAATTATCACCACACTATAATTGGTGCATCAAATAATAATGTAATTTGTATTCCTACTTCTTACATACAGTATGGTATATACATAGTTAATTCTTCATTCTAAAAACAAAGAATTAATTGTGTAAGAAGTAAAAATACAAATTACATTGTTATTTGACACACCAATTACAGTGTAGTAATAATTAATCATTCCCACTTAGTGGTTCATTATAATTAGTTTGAAATTCAAGAGTCTAATTAAAGCACACAATACAGCTATTTAATTAATCATCTAGATATACAATGTACCAGCTTAGTACACCATTCTTCAAATGCATTGTCGAAATTAAAAGATAATTTAATGGAAAGTTACTACGTGTATTATAAGTATATAAACTAGGACTCTTATATCGTTCTCCTAGCATAGACAGCAGATCTCAGAAAAATTTCTCTGCAATAAAATTTGACACTGGTGAATACACCAGTGGATAAATTACATTGTGTTGTTCAACGATTTCTACACAGAGCAAAGTGTGATAATAAAATTTCTCTCTCAATGGCAAAGTATCCTATATACAGGTAAAGGATTTCCGCTGATGAAAGAGAAGAATTGAACCAAAAAAAAAAAAAAAAAAAAAAACGAGCGACGTTACCTCCTCGTTGAGCCGCCTCTTGTCCTCCTGCTCTTCGTCCTCCTCGAGTCCCTGCGTCACTGTGTTAATGTGAATGCTGTCCGAGCCCTGAAACAGGCTCAGACCCGGGCCTGGCTCCATTCCCCAGGCTAGCCCTCGCTCGTTGGCCGAGACCGCCGAGGGAGCTCACGACGGACTAACGACCGCGTTTATTGTGCGTAGCATATTTTTGTTTATAACGCCATAACCTTGACGCAACAAGTAGGTCACACCGTGTGTGTACACACACGATATTACGCGGCAGCGGGCCCCGCTATCGCGTCGCGACGACAAGGATCGCTGCTGAAGGATAAGCGTTGCAACGCGCACATTCCTCGCGGGAATCTCACGGGACACGGCCACCGATCGCGCTCGTTATCGCTGGCTGTTACTGCAGACGCTGCCGCGCGATTATTTACACCCGCCACCCTGCATACGCCGCGCACATACGCGAGAATCTCTGGAGCGCGCGCGCTTGTAAACAATCAGCGGAGAGTCGGTCGTATGTAACATACATACAGACGGTATACCGTAGTACGCGAGGCTCGTAAGCGGAAATGGGCTCCCGCGACCGTCGCTTGTCTCCGATTGGTCGCCGTCGACGGTTATCACCCAGCTATCACTAGAGCGTGACCGCCCATTTAGCGCCTCTACTATAGCTTCACTTTTCCTTCTCGAGCGATGGTGTAGGTGCTTTACGAAATAATTCCTCGTATTCTCCTGTTCTGCAGGCCCCATCAAGTAGGTTCTTTTTCTTCCGTCAATCCTCTCGCTTTAACTCCGGGCCTCCGGGGCTGGATTCGGGGAGACGATATTAGCGCTATATTTGTCTCATTTTAATCTTCATCGTCCATTAGACGCGAGACAAGGACAGTACTACACAAATGGCGCTAATAGCGCGCTGCCCGAACGCAGCACGGATCTACTCCGTCTACATCTGTCGGAATGTTTATCGTAAGTGCCTTACGATCCTTGCGGCACCAATCAAAAGCGCTGTAATGCACATTGACGTTTCTAATTGGCTATCGTATGAATCGTAAGGAACTTACGATAAACATTACGATAGATGTAGGTATAGGCTTTACAATATATGTTTTAAGATGTGTATTTTTTTAGATATTTTTATTATATAAATACTGTATAAAAAAGTATATATATTACTGAAAAATTACAATTTTTTCTCTGCAGTTATTATTTCTATTGATGATCAAACTCAGATGATAAATATTTAAATTACAATTTTTAATAAAAATCGAATATTAATTTTTAAACACATATATATATATATATATATGTTATACGTGTTACGAAACTAATAAATTATGAAATTAGTACCGTATATATTATCAATTAACGGGGTTGCCAAGGTAATGTTCATTCAAGTCTATATCTGAAAAAATCGAATGAATCGAATGTTAAACAAGAATGACATGACAGAGAAACACTTACTTGCCAATTGACTTTGAAGGTAGTAATCTGAATGTACCTGATGTGTCCCCACGCGTCTCTATGACTTGGATGAAAGTTCGTTCTTTTTAGCTAGCATAAAATTTAGTTAGTAATCAGCACGAAGGTATTTGTTGTAGATTAAGAAAAAGCTTCAAATATTGGAAAAATTTTAATAGAGGTTTATAAATTTACCAAAAGACTCAAAAATACCTTTAATAATTCAATCTGAATTTATATTTGAAAAAAAGGGGGAAAAGTTTGTGTCAAGTAATCGATTAATGTTGGTCTCAGGATACTCGAGCAAAGAACCTTATAGGTTCTTTTGACAGGCAACAGGTAACGTTTGATTTTACTTAAACTGCAGTTTTTGTACGAAATTTATTATTATTTGTCGTTATTGTGATCGATTGCAGAGCATTGCCAAACATAGCCAACTCTAAAAGAGACTAGAATAATCCTTTCTACTGCTGACGGTCCAATTATGTTTCTAGGCTATCACGTTTTGAGAACCTCTGCCTTATACAATAGGAGACTCTCTCGTATGTAATGTATCAGTAACCACTGGAATTGCACTCTTGAGAGGAAAAGATATTTATCAGCGCAGACGTAACGTGGGACCAAGAGTCTCGTGGACGTGGAGATAAAGCAGTTTCCGATATGAAGGCTCTAATACAGCGAGTGTCAAATGCTTCAGTTTCAGGTAAAATCGGATTTATATACACATATTTATAGATGAATCTGCATAAATTTGGATCCCTTGCGTAATAAAAAAAAGTTTATGATGTGTATTAGGGAATCAGTGTATTGGCAATACTTGCAATTTATGTGTGATACAGATTGATAAGAAGTAAGTTGAATTACATGAGGTCTCGTATGACAACAGTTAAGGTCCAAGTATAATTTTTCAGTTGACGGCGAAGTTATTAGTAGCATTGGAACTGGACTGTGCGTGTTAATTGGCATAAAGAGAGATGATGGAGTAGCAGATATGAAATACATGTAATGAAAAAACATTAATGAATATAGTTACGTATACATGTGTACAGTTGAACGTTAATTTCTCTGTCGCAGTATAAGAAAGCTACTGAATATCAAAATTTTTGAGGATGACAAGGGTAAAAAATGGAGTGCCAGTGTAAAGGATAAGAAGTACGAAATCTTGTGCATTAGTCAGTTTACATTAGATTATGTATTAAAAGGAAATAAATTAAGCTTTCATAGAGCGATGCCTGCCCAAGAATCTGAAACCTTTTACATGAATTTTATTACTAAACTTCGTGAACAGTATGTCCCAGAATTGGTCAAAGGTAATATAACGGACTAATACAAATGATTTTCAGTCTTTTTACATTTTGCTTGGATATGCAACTTGGATAAAGCGAATTGTTGAAAATTTTTTTATTTTTAATAAATTTATACAGATGGTAAATTTGGTGCAAAGATGGAAGTTAGCATACAGAACAGTGGGCCTGTAACACTGGAAATAGTGTCCCAAAACACCTCTGACCCTAATGTAGAAAATGAGGAAACATCTGATTAATTCAAGCATCTATTTATGTGTATAACAGATTTTTCAATAAACCGATATTGAATAATATATAGTGTATATAAGTTTATTTAACCTAATTATCGTTTTCAATCAATTTTTGCTTCAAGATTTAAATTAAATTTTTAACACTGATGTTATAATCATATATGTAATATAAAAATTAATAAACATACTTATTTAGGTATTAATATACATACATGTATCAACTGTAGAGATCAGCAATTTATTTTTAAATATAATATGTATTAATTTTTATTAGAACATTTATATATATGGTAGAACTTCGTTGTTTATCTTTGTACTAACTACAATTATCTGAACTCCATTTATATAAAAAATTTAGTCTCAGTTCCAAATATCCAAACTCATAGTTAAGCTCTTATTATTCTGCCGTAATTATAATTATGACGTCATAGTTCGAATGATAAAAGCTTGACGTGTTCCACTCTAGTTTTCTGAACGGCAACTACTATTATCGGAACTAATAGAGGGGAGGCTTGTTATTAGTGAACTTCTATTCAAGTCATTTGATTATCAAAACAACCTTGTTCCTCAACATTGTCCGAATAAACAAAATGTTACTATATATAAATTATGTTTTTTAATATATTATAGTTTATCATAATTCTAAATAATTAAAACGACTGAAATATCAAATTGAATTGGTCTCATATTGAATTAAATTTTACAATTTTGTTTCAGACGCTGACTAGTGAATTGTGACATTAAATAATCTACACTTAACAATAAACAATGGCAACTTCTGAAGAGAAAATGAACATTACACAAAATGAGAATAATAAATCAAGAAGACAAGATCAAGGCAAGTGCAGATTTATTTTCAGTATATAAATATATTATTTAAAACATTATTAAAAATTCTACAAAATTAATTTATTTTAGATAAGAAGATTGTACAGACCGGTGCAAAAAATACAGAAAACATAGGCAGAGTAGATAAACCAAAAGTATGCGAATTATCTGTTCCTAAAAATGATACATCCGTTATACGACAGGTATAATATTTTTTCTTGTAACAATAGTGTTACATTATTAATATTCTTGTAATTCTTGTCATTCTAGGCACGCGATAGTCAGACAGATCCTGAGGATACAGAATCTATAGAGCAACTGAAAAATCAGTTAGGTGTATTGATGGACCAGTTGGCCACTCTATCAGCAGAAAAGTCAAAAATGGAAGCAAACTTTCAAATGGATAGGAAGCAATTGCGAAGCGAACGTGATGAAGTAAGATGAGAAATTTGGCATCTGTTCTGTTATCAGGATTGTTCAATTGAGTCTTAATATTTGCAGTGTGAAAAAGTAATCAAAGATCTGAAAGACAGATTGAAGAAGGCACAAAATGTCAATCACTCCGAAATCGAACATGTAAAGTGCAAATTAATCATGGAACGCCATGAAAGAGAGAAAGAACACATCGATCTCGTCAAAAAGATAAAGTAGTGATTTAATTTTATGTAATTATATAAAATTATACCATTTGCGAAGTGTGTCTATATGATATAAATATAAAAATTAACAATATTTTCATGATAAGATTGTATACAAAAGTATATCCACGATTTTTGCAGAGAACTGCAGAAATTATTATATGACGAGCAACGCAGCAAGGAACAGCTGGAAGTGCAATTGAAGACTCATCTCGCAAATAAGACACAGTGCAAGATTCTCGAAGCCGAGTTAGAAATTACCAAGACCAAACTCAAACAGGCCGAAGAAGCGGCAAAGGAGACACCACCGCTTCTTCTTTCCTTACAAGCCGAGATGGCTGTGATGAAGAAGCAACATTTGAATGCGATTCGTGAAGTAAAATCTGCCTAGAATTATTAAATACGTTACGCGAAAACTGTTGTTGGGTATAATAAGTTAAGCGATACGTTTTGATGTAGGAGCAAAAAAGAGCTGCTGTTGCGGAACAGCAAGCGAGAGGATCAGTGATCGTGCACGAGGCAAGAGTAGCTGGCTTAGAGGCTCGTTTAGCTGAACTCTCCGACATCGTTGGAGGCTATGACAGGCTTAGGCAACAGGACCAATTAGCTATTCAGAAATTGAAGGACCAATTGGCTGCTTTGCAAGACATCGAACACAACGAAGTCGCGACGTCGAGTAATCACCCGGAGGAGATTATTTCCAAGATAAGATCTTTGTATACCCGCTTACTAGATCTTGACAACAAAAAGGAAGACTCAGTCTATGTAAAGTGTAAGTTAACACGTTTGATCAAATATAAAATAGAATAAAACTATTTGAATAAATAATTTAAATATATTTGCGTTTTTATATTTAGCACTATTGAATAGTTTGGATTTGCGGGATGAGCTTTCTGATTACAAGGAGAAATATAGCGCACTTCTACAAGAATTTGAAGACTATAAACAACAAACAATGTGCAAATATAACGTGTCATCCAACATCCGTAATACTCAGCAAAGACACACTTTGTCTTTGATGCATGATAAAGATCATGATAAAACTCAATTGAACCTCCTTAAAGTCCACAACAGCAATTTGGAGGAAA